AATTACATACATAAATTAGTATCTAAGTGTGTACCTAAATAAATAAGAACCTAACTACCTAACTATCTATCTAACTATATAACTAAATTTGCTAACTACATTTACTACAAGTACTACCTATCTAACTAAATTACACAACTAAATTGTCACCTAAACTAAATAAATTACCTAACTAAATTACATCACTAAAAATAACTAAATTAGCTAGAAAAATTATCTCACTATATAACTAAATTAAATAACTAGCTATATTATCTAAACTATGACAACTAAAAACGAAATTACTTACATAAAAAACCTCGTGCAATTGCTCACTTTGCTTGAGCGAGGGGATGGGGGAGGCGCGCGACGACTCCTCCTGGGCGGCCAGGGGGGAGGCGGCGACGCCAGCACAGGGTCGGCGGCCCAGCCGCCGGCGTCTCTGTGGGGACGGCGGGAGCCGCCCTCGCCGCCATGTCTTGCGGAGGAGGAGGATGGGGCGACGAGGGCGGCCGGGGGAGCGATGGACGGGGAGGGGCGCAGTAGATGGCGCGGCCGGTGGCACGGACGCCGGTGGCGCGGACGGCGAGGGGAGGAGGCGCTGGCGAGAGAGGTGGCGCGGCCGGCAGCGGGAGAGGGCGGTGGCGCATGTGCCGACGGTGGAACACAGCGATAGAATGAGAGGGAGCGAGTGGGAAAGGAAGGAACCTCGATGTTTTCATTTAATAGCTCGGCGCCGAGATCTGTGGCGCCACGTAAGCGCCAGATCATCTTCCACGCAAATGAGGACCACGCACCTCGGCGCCGTGAGTCGTGGCGTCGACAAGTGTTACCTCGGCGCCGTGAATCTAGGCCCAAAGTTGAGTTTAGGTCGCCCAGGTGTCTAAACATGAATTTTCTTAAAAAATGGCTAAATTGAAAAAAAAGGGGAATTGGAGCGCAGCCAATGGCTTTAGCAACGGTGCGTAGAGTATCCTTTTCATGCCGATACTCTTGGTCAAGGAGCACCGGTGAATTTTCAACACACTGGATAAAAATCTTCTAGGACTGTTGTAGGAGTATAATAACCTGTTGAACGTTCTCGTTGGACTTTCAACGGAATCAGCAACCAACAAGCCAAGCCATGGTAAGCAGAACAGGACAGGACCGATCCTAATTTAAATGATTCCGGGCAGAGATGCATCAGAGATAAATAAAGAAAGATCACCATCCAATGGAAAATAAAATCGGCGACAAATGAGCTTGCATCCTTCGGTGATTCAGCGCAGTTCAGGCTCGCTTCTACAATCTAGTCCCTGAACAGACCAGTACTTGCGAAAGGAAGGTGCTTTCCCAGATTGTCTGTTTCAACACCTTTGCATGATGGGTCATATTGTTAGAATCGGAAAAGAAAAAGAAAAAAAAATCCTTCAATCAAACTAAACTTTAATTAACGCACCGTAGCATCTTCAGTACCGACCAAGCAGTGACATACTGACATGCTGCCAAGCTTCTTCCCACCAGTCTAGACCCCAACGGCCCAGCAGCCAGCACTTCCCTCGACCACGCCCCCGAGCGGCCGAGTCGAGCGCCATCGATTCCCCTCAGGCTGGGCATTCGGTTTAAACCGATAATTCGGTTTGGTTATTCGGTCTGGGAAAACTTCGGTTTTGGACAAGGTCACAACCGATCGGTTGCAGAGAAAATGAGAAACCGATGATATCGGTTTCGGTTTCATCGGTTTGGTGGTCGGTTTCAACCGAGATTTGCCTGTCTCGTACCTGCGTGGGATCTTGTCCGCTTTGTTGCGCTTCACGCGGCGTCTCCGGTAGTCCCTCGCGGTGCGCCATCCCGATCCCCGACCGCTTTCTCGCCGCGTAATGGTCGCCGCCAGCCATGCCGCCACGCATGGTCGGGCCGGTCATGTATATCTTTCATTGCTTTCATTTCGCCGCTGCGCCGGAGCTCCCTACTTTTGCCAGCTGCCGCGTCGCGCCGCCTTGCTTCGCCGCCCACGCGGTCGAACGCGTAGCCCCACCTCGCCTCCCCGCCAGTTACGCGACACCTCGCACCCACGCCCGCCGCCGCCAGCGCTACTCGCAGCCGCATCGCGCCAGTGGCCCAATCTGCCGCCGCCACGGCTTGTTGCCCGTCGAGACTCATGTGTGTGTGGATAGGGTTTCACCGCTTTAGGCGATGTGTGTGTGTTCATCGTTGGGCCTTTGGTTTGGGCATTTGGTAGCTTTGCTATCGCGACGCCTCTCGACTGTGATTTGGAGTCCTGGCGATTGCAGTTCGGTTGATTTCGAGTGTTCGGTTCGGTGAACATCAGAACCGAAGTCGACCACCGAAGCCGAAGTTCCCCAAGACGAAACCGAAACCGAACCGAACAACCGAAAAAACCGATATTTCGGTGCGGTTCGGGTCGGTTCGGTTCGGTTTTCGGGTTTCGGGTAAAATGTGCCCAGGCTGATATTCCCCAAAGGCCGAAGGCGTTGGTCTGTTGGAAAACCTAGCCACCACTCGACACTCGTGACCACCGCCCGCCACCTCGCCCCCGCCCGGCGTGCGTGGTCGAGAGAGAGCGATTGCCCGACACTGCGGCCTGCGGCGCTGCCTGTTCCACCTAGCCGCTCGGCACTAGTGGCCGCCGACGGCCACCGCGCCCCCGCCGCCGCCCCCGCCCGGCGTGCGAGGTCAAGAGAGAGCGACTGCCCGACACTGAGGCCTGCGGCGCTGCCCGACACCGCCGCCGCCCTGCCCCGCCCCCGCCCCCCCGCCCCGCCCGCGTGGAAGCCACGCTACTGTACCTGAATACGTACGCCGCGCGGAAGAGCGTTGGATGTAAGCTACGCTGCTACACTGTTTCGTATAAAAGCCGCGGCGCATCAGGGGCCAACCCTTCATTGAGACAAAACACGGAATCGTGTATCGCATCGCCAGGCAGATCCCTTCTCCTCGCCGAGAGAGAGAGAGAGAAGTCGCAGACCCAGAACCAGACCACACCGCGCCGCCGCCGCCGCCTCCACCTCCGGTGATCGAGTCGCGTAGACACTACCTTCACGCTAGAAGACAATAAGCATCGGCAGCCATGTTCGGCTCCACCAACCGTAAGCACTCACCCCCTAATCCCCTCCTATTCTCGTCGATTCCATCACATTGGATTCCATGACCTTGCTTTTAATTCCTCGATTCCGCTCTCGTATGTATGTATTGCTACTGTTGCGCTTGCTTCCCGTTCGATTGATTATTCGATTTCATATATTTCGATGGATTGTCCATATGCCTCCGCACACTAGGGTTTCGTCAATCAAATAGGCTACTTGCAGTCTCAACTTCAAGGATCCGTGGAACACCTAACCAAAAATAAAACAGAAGAATGCTTCAGTGCTCATCGTTTTCATTTATATTTGTATAATATATGATAGCTGGTACAATGCAATACCTGATTACGATTGTACAGTTCAAGTTTCCCTTGCTGCAAGCCCTTACATGTCTCCATAGAAAGTATACTTTCTTTTTCTTCTTGTTTTTTTTTTTTGCAATGTTGATTATCTTCTCACCTCTCGTGTATGCTATCTTCATTGCAGCATTCGGGCAGTCGTCCACCAGCCCATTTGGCCAGACCTCATTTGGAACTCCGCAGGGATTCGGCCAGTCTTCCACTGCTGCCAACAATCCCTTTGCCCCAAAACCGTTTGGCAGCCCAACGACAACTTTTGGGGCACAGACTGGAAGCTCGCTCTTTGCAACTACATCCACTGGTGCCTTTGGCCAGCATCAATCCACTCCCGCATTTGGCACAACATCTACTGGTGCCTTTGGCCAGCAGCAATCCACTCCCACATTTGGCACCCCATCCTCCTCTCCGTTTGGGAGCTCCACACCAGCCTTTGGTGCATCCCCCACTCCTGCCTTTGGTGCCACATCCTCTGGTATGTATTATGCATTCTCTATTGCTTTCCTCTCTTGCTGGTTCACCATGCTGATCATACCAGGTTGTCAGAGGAAGCCACTTTCTAGATTGTCTAGTTAATGATGCCAGTTTTATGCGTAATTGTTCTTTTTTGTTAGGAAACAATTATCTTCTTACAAATTGGAAACAGCATGAGCCATTGGCAGTTTTGCCCATATCTCACAAGTTTTATTTATCTTTGCATTTCTCTGCATGCTACATTTGTTGTAAGTATCTACTCATGTGGAATCATGCCAGTTTTTACTAGGTTGGCCTAACAAGATCTGCTGTATTATGTGTGATGTCATATCTCTGCTTCACATGTTATAGGATCTTTGTTCGGACAGAAGCCAAGTTTTGGGGGTTTTGGGTCATCTCGTAGCCAGTCAAGTCCTTTTGGTAGCACGTTCCAGCAAACACAACCAACATTTGGCGGCAGCACTTTTGGTTCATCAACTACGCCTGCGCTTTGGTACCACGACTACGCCTGCATTTGGCACAACTACGCCAGCCTTTGGCACCACAACTACACCTGCCTTCAGTGCATCGACTACCCCAGCATTTGGTTCAACATCAACATCTTTATTTGGTGCTTCTAGCACACCAGCATTTGGTTCTACAGCCTTTGGTACATCTTCTACTGGTTTTGGAACTTCAGGGACTACAGCATTTGGTGTAAGTAGTACTACTCCAGGTTTTGGATCTTCAAGCACACCTTCATTTGGCACATCAGCTAGCGCATTCAGTTTTGGTTCTTCACCATCTTTTGGACAAACAACAGTTTCCTCTGGTGGCACTCCCTTTGGAACAACTCCGTCACCTTTCGGTGCACCAGCTCCTGCATTTGGTAGGTTTTCCCATTGGATGTTCACATTATTTTTAGCTACTTATGATATAACGCTCAGTGAATTATTGTCTGAGACTCTGAGTACATATGATGTAGCAGTTGATATTTACTGATTCTTTTGTTCTTTCTAACTCCAGCAGGCCTATTTTATTGCAAATCTCCCTTTTAAACTGTTTTTACACTAGCGAGGTCATCTTTTTTTACCTGTTTCACCAATTATTTGTTCTCTTTGAGTTTCAGGCTCACAGACAGCAGCGCCAGCTTTTGGACAACCACAATTTGCTAATCAAGCTGGAGGAACCAGAATAAAACCTTATTCTCAAACACCAGATGTTGACAGTGCTACTAGTGGTACTCAGCCTGCTGCAAAACTTGATTCCATATCAGCAATGCCTGAATACAAAGACAAGAGTCATGAAGAATTGAGGTGGGAAGACTACCAGCGTGGAGACAAGGGTGAGGAAAATTATTTGGGGATGAAGGGTTTTGCTTGATTTGCAAACACTCTTTAAACCACATCTTTAATTCCATTTATTATTTTGTCCTTCTTGTTTGTATGAACTGGAGTAACCATTATCTTATACCCTGGCTTAGCTTGGACCCTGAATAGAATTGACAAATAACTGTTATTCCCTTTATTAATTGTTTATTATATCATTGCTAGGTTTCTTTTGGTACATGTACTTTTTTTTCTTGTGAAACATGTGCATCATTCTTAATATTTGGACTTGCAGGTGGACCAAACACTTCTGGAACTCCAGCAGTGGCACCTAGCTTTCCATCATCAATGCCACAGAATGCTTTTGTTTCGACAAGCAATCCCAATCCATTTAACCAGCCTGCCACAAACCCATTTTCAACAAACAATCTATTTGCTCCTAAGCCTGCTTCAACTATTACTTCACCATTCAGCACCTCATCATTTAACAATGTATCAGTTGCAAGTTCGAGCCCATTCACATCATCCAGTAGTACCACAATGTTTGGGCAAACAGGTGTTTCTACATTTCCAGCAAATAATTCGCCATCATTATTTGGAAATACCAATCCTGCTCCTTCTACATTGTCATTATTTGGCACATCAATGACGAATAATTCAAGTCCATTCGGCACTGGCTCATCGTTGGCTAACACTCGGTCAGCCCCACTATTTTCATCAGCATTTGCTCAACAGACATCAAGTACACCGGCTTTCTCCTCTGGGAACCTATTTGGGTCAACTAATCCTGGTGGTCTGTTTAGCAGTAGCGGTCCTTCACTTTTTCCAACAGTAAGCATCCTTTGTCTTTGTCCTTATATTTTATTACTAGATTCTTGTTATCATTTCTTATTTGTTAGTACTTAATTTATTTTGCTTCTAATGATTCAGTCAACATTTCAGCCATCTCCCCCTGCTCAAACTTCTAACATATTCTCCTTCCAACCTGCAATTCAACCAGGTCAGTATTTTATATTTAAACCTCTTCTTTTTACAATTTATCTTCAAAGACTAATTTGGGCTTAACTTATGTTCAAATGCATGCCTGCATGGATACAGCAGCTTCTACAGGTGTATTCCCTGGTTTTTCCAACACTACGAATCAGGCCTTGATGGGACAGCCGTATGATCTTCTGCTACTTTTCAAATGCACATGATTATTCCTTTCCTATTTAGTAATTTCCTTTCGATGGATTAAAACACTGATTAGTTATAACAAGGTTAAGGAAAAATAATATTATGATCAGTCTAATGTGGACAATGGTGTAGGCAAAGAAGGGGAAAAAACTTGATGGTTCATGGGGACTAGCTTATATTTAATGCCGTGAGACTGCCGATTGTTATTTTATATCTGTAGTCGAAGAGCATGGTTTTGGCATAACATAATTCACAAATGAGTTTTGGCAACACATATTATTCCTCTTTTTTTTTTGTTTTGCCTAAGGTAATACATTATTTAGTTTAACATGGTGTATCCTATTGCATTTTACACAGAACTCCTAGCCAGTCCAGTATGGTCATGCAGCCTGCTCCTGTTTCAAATCCATTTGGGACGCTTCCAGCAATGCCTCAGATGTCCATTGGGAATGGTGGATCTTCACCTTCAGTTCAATATGGAATATCAAGTTTGCCGGTTAGTTTTGTTTCTCCTTAGCATTTCTAATTGTTTATGTAGCAGGTGGACAGTAGAGATAGGAGCAAGATGGTGGTTGTTGATTAGGAAGGTGTACTAAGGGTGCCATAAGCAGGCACCACATGTGAAAGGGGTTTGCTTGATTGTAACTTCTTACTGTCTTGCAGGTTGCTGAGAAGCCTCTTCCAAGTAGATCATTGTCCATGGCGGTTCCTAGGCATTTGTCACAGAGAAGGATAAAACTGCTCCCGAGAAAATATAATCCAATATCTGATAGCAAGGTAATGAATGACCTGACCTGTAAGAATAGAATAATTTTGTGTGCAAAGTTTTGCTTTATGTTTTGTTCATGGAGCTTTTCGAGGCCATTGAGAAAGCATTGAATGATTGAACAATGATTGAACACGTTGCTCAGTTGCTTCTATTGTTCCTATAGGTTCCATTCTTTGCTGATGATGAAGAATCTCCAACAACACCGAAGGCGGATGCTTTTTTCATCCCTAGAGAGAACCCAAGGAATCTGGTAATTCGTCCAATTGAGCAGTGGCCTTCGCGGAGAGAAACTGACCGGCAATCGACTTTGAAGAATGCCACTGATTTGAACAAATATGAAGGTAAATCTTTCCATCACAGTACTGGAATTTTCATATAAATATTGTCCCCAGATAGGGCAAATGTCAGTTACTGATCTCATTAAGTTGTGCAGATGTTTCCCCTGAAAGTGAGCGTGGTAAGTCTGCCATGTCACCAAGCATCAGGCCTCCTGCAGTGGAAAATGACAATCAGCATGAGGCCAGGGCCATGGTTCAGCATGGGAATGGAAATGTTACTTCAGTCGAGAGGTTGTTGCCTAAGCTTCCACGTGCAGATTACTTCACAGAGCCTAGTATAGAGGAGATTGCGGCCAAAGAACGTGCGGAGGCAGGCTACTGTGGCCGGGTGAGGGACTTTGTCGTGGGGCGACATGGCTACGGTAGCATCAAGTTTCTGGGGGAGACGGACGTGAGGTGCCTGGATCTGGAGTCAATCGTGGAGTTCAACAACCGGGAGGTGATTGTGTACAAGGACGACAACAAGAAGCCCCCTGTGGGTGAGGGGCTGAATAAGGCCGCGGAGGTGACTCTACTGAACATCAAGTGCGTAAACAAGAAGACCGGGGAGCAGTACTACGAGGGGGCAAGGGTGGAGAGGTACAGGGAGATGCTGGTGAAGAAGGTGGAGGAGCAGGGCGCAGAGTTTGTGTCCTTCGATGCTGCCAAGGGAGAGTGGAAGTTCAGGGTGAAGCACTTCAGCGCCTATGGGCTTTTGGTGATATCCTAAGTAATCCTGATGCCGGAGGAGTGAGGGATGGACGATGGAATGTCTTGTAGTTAAAGTAACGTTTTTTTTTTTGGTTTGCTTTGATGGAGCAGTACGCTTTACACTCTTGTCAAATGTCATGCTGGGGTTCTGTTGTTCTCCTTTTGTGCAAAAAGGTCCTGTTCGCTTGAGCTTATCGGCCAGAATTAGACATACTTTTTAGCCATGAGAACAGTGTTTTTCTCTCATAATAAATCAGCTCTACAAATCAGCCGCAACAGCAATAAGTCCCGCCGAACAGAGCCTTGAGTTGCTGCAAAATGCTTGCAAATTGAGCTGTGCTGCTGAAAACTGCAGCAGCAGCAGAATCCGCCATAAAAGTAAGGCGTGCTACTTATCATCAACTAGGATTGCCCATGCGCTGGTATAGGAGTTGAAAAAAAATCAACGAAATAATGGAAGTATACATGGACAAAACTCTGATGCGAATCAAATTTAAAGGATATTATGTTTTGGTTACGAAGCATATAACTTAGACAACTTTGTCAATGAAACTTTAAATGCAAGAACATCAAATATGATTATCTAAATAAATGATAACAGTATAGTATTTCAATTTCGGCAATCACCGCATCCAGCTAGCCCCATGGATTTCTCTCTTTAAATAAATGAATTCTATGGGGGACATAAGTGCTGCATTGCACATTGGAGTGGCCAAATTGACTGACTTCACTCCCCTATAGTACTGATCGTCACTATAAGATGCTCGTTACTTATCTTAATTGTACCAGCCTAGTTGCTAGTGGTGGAATAGAGTTCAGATGTATTTAAACATGCAATCAGTTATTAACTGATCAAAGAATTTAGTATAACTACAAGAACTAGTTAATCTGACGCTACTTGTGGGCATGTGACTCTACATCATGTTGAATCTTCCGTGGTGTTTTCTTTTTCTGCTTATACTTCGCATAAGAGTACCATACACCGCCAAATGTGTTGATCACCAGTCCAGTAACATTCAGAGCGTGCACTTCGACACCTCCAAACAGAACGAAACCGAGGGTCTGAAAAGCCAATGGGGAAAAACATGATATAAGATTTACTTAGTTCTAGAACTTCAGAGCTCAGTTGCATCAAGGGTTCCAATGAAAGGTCAAACTGGTCATACATAAATAGGCAAACTTACCGTAGACCCGACGCCCTTGAGAACTCCTACTATTGTTGTAGTCAGAGCAGAATTCACAATTGTGCACCAGAACATAGTGAAATTGAGAACGATTCCCATCACCAATGAGATAATGAGAATAACACTGAATGTCAGAGAGGCTGCCTGCAGTTCAAGTGTCACCAGACAATGCAAGTTAGGAATGGAGACATACAACAAATAACTGACGTAGAAACTTTAAGAGTACTATTATGTTAATGAATAGCAGCGAAGTGTGAAACCAGTGGCTTCAGAAACTCTGGTGAACTAACTTTAATTGTCATTCTTGTTCTTGAGTTAAAGGGGTGAAACAAGGGAACATTCAGAGATTGCTAGCTTAAATGTGCTGGTTAAATTTTAATATACTGCATTCATATCACTGACCTTTGCAGATAATACTGTAAGAGAATGGGGGAATTCTCCTGTTGCTATAATGAGGAAAAACAGAAATGGAAGTGATAATATGCTGTTGTAAAACATCAAGTCCACTGAGGAAAGACCATCTTCAGCACCTGATTTCTCCACCAGAATCAAATACATAGTCTGCATAATGCATATACATTCAGCTGTCAGATACAAAGATACATAACCTTGCCTTAAAAAACTCTCAAAAGATATAGAATAAATTTCTAAGAACAAAACAGAGTAGAAATCACACAACCTGGAAGAAGACTGATGTTAGAGCCATGCGGTATCCATATAGGTCAAAGGAAAAATCTCCAAGTGCTGCAATGAGGACACCAGTGGCGGTGCAGATAACTGAAAGAATGACCTAAAGTAATTTGAATTGATCAGGATGTGGCAAACAACAATAAGAGCTGTTAATTCCCAGGGGAGAAACAGTGCATTTCCCTAATGTTTGAATTAAGTTGCAAATGATGAAATTTCAAAACAAGAATGTACAGCAGATCAAGAGTTTCAGTTACATTGTCAGTGCCTTTCAGAATATATACCTAAAGTGCTTGCAAAATTTTACTGGAAACATGGACGCCAGTAGCCAAGCAGTGATACTAACCAAGAATATTAAGATATTTTGGCAGGAACGTTGAAAAGAAGGATTTGTGGTACCCAGTAAGGCTACAATTCTCATAAACTTTGATTAAGCTTATCCACACTTAATGGAGACAGTGAGGGGAGTTCAGCTTAAGTAATAATTGTACCATATGTTAAAGGAAGTGCAAAATAGACTAAAGAAATGCACTTCAATGGTCAGACCTGTGTCGGTGGTTTCCCTTTCCCGCATGCACCCAGCTACCAACACAGCAAGGGGAGTGATCCTCTTGATTGCAATATACATTGGGATGTTAACCCCTTTCAAGCTTGCTAGAGCAAATCCCACATTTGCATTGTAGAAAATAGACACTGGAAGAAGCTTCTTCGCGGTTATCAAGCTGAAATCTTTTCTTTTAGACATCCCTAGAACTTGACCAAAATGTATCAGAAGTGCCGTCGCTATTTGCTGCAGAAAGTAGCAGAGAAATTGAACATAACAATCAGACTTAGTCGAACATAGAAACATGCAATATTTTCTCGGCCGTGATGCTAAGCAATACCTGTAAAGTGAGGAGGGTCATGGAGTGAACATACTGCATAAGAACTGCTTTGTTCACGAAAACCATTGCCATAGATGCGACTCCATAGGAAAAGGCAGCAGCTAAGCTGCAAGAACATATGTACAGGGAAATGGTCAAAACTTCCAATGCACTGCAATCTGGCCTGAATCAGTAGCTCTACACAAAACTGTTTTTTTCTTTTCTCCTGAAAAATGTCTACTCTAGCATCAAACCATTACTACTTTCTAAACTGTTCATGATCCTAGTAACAAAGAAGATGGACATAGCCATTCTTGCTAAAGTTGAACTTGATACTAACCCCTAAGCGAAGTGAAATCTAGTAGGTTCGATTTACCTATGATGAAGCACAGAAGAGTGTGTCGTTTATTTTTTAATTTTTTGAAACGAGTGTGTAGTTTAATTATGCCACCACATCAAGCGGCCAGAGAGTCAGATAGTTGACTAGCATACATACAGTACCAATGAAGGAGTAGGACTTATGCGCTATTTATATTCCAAGTTGCGACGAAATTGCTAACGAATCAACCAGTTTCTTTCTTTCTTTCAGTAATAAAAGGACCTCTCATTATCTAAAAAAATAAAAATAAAAGAACCTCTAAAATCCAATGCCTCTACGCTGCGAACACAATAATCTGCAAAAGAAGCAGAGGATTAGGCTGCCGAACGCCCATGGAGATGGGCTTGCCTGAGGGCGGGGCACAACGAACCAAATCCTTATCCACTCTGTGTTGTACTGTTGTGTGCCAATCTGACGAACCAAATGGCAGCAGACGGGGAAAAATTATACAGTACATAGAAACGCCTTCCCCGCACGATTCCACCATCCAAAAATCAAGCAAGCATTGAACTCCTCCAAAGCGTCGCGCGAAAACCGGCACGGCACCGCCGCGAGGTTGCCAGCACCCCCACCACATCCCTCCCGTCTCCAATCACGCGGCCAGCGAGGAGAGTAAAGCAAAGCAGGGCAAGGCCGCGGTCCGCGGAGACGTGCAGCAAGGGGGAAAAAAAAGGAAGAGCGGGAAGCTTGCTCACCTGAGGATGGAGCTGGGCTCGCCGGCCTCCGCCCCCATCTCGCCCCTCGCGCTCCCGACAAGCCGGGCTGCGGTTGCGGGTGCTCCGTGTCTGTCCGGGCGCGCGCTACATGGACCGGCCGTGCCTGTGCGGGGCGTGTGGGGTGGGGAGATCCGGAGCCGCTGGTTAACAAGCGGGCTCATAAGCTGACTGCGCTAGTAATAGTATTGGTTAATTATTAGTTAATTATATGATTAGCGGGCGGCGAGGAGGCAAAAGCACGCGCGAGGACGAAGCGATGCGCGCTCTTTTTCGCGCCCAAGCTTTCCATGGAGACTGGAGACAACTGGAGAGAGTGGAGAACGCAGAACTGCAGATCGATCGATTCCTGCCGGTGGATGGCTTGACTTTCCTGGGACTTTGGGCTTGGGCATCCATGCCCCACAAGGCACACGTACAATGGTCAATGGTGCGAGAGGGAGGGAATGGACCTGTTTAAAACGGTTCCTTCCTCCATGTGCTTTTGAGATGCAAAGAACCACAAATTGCTCTTTATTATAATAAAAAAAATCGCTTCGAGTACTCTTTCATATAAAAAAATATAGCTCCTGATTTCTCTGGTTCTTCTATTAAAGCCAGAGCCGTACCAAACAGATCCTTATTTGGCCCACTTGACTTAGGTTTCAGCTAGGGATCTAATGGTGTAACAAGAATAGAAAAAAAAACTCTTTTTTTTCGCCTCCTCATAATATCATGTCAAGAATTTTCTCATCTATAAAACCGGACGTTGGCCCCTCAATTTAAACCAATTATTTTTACATGGTAGCGGTTTATATGATTTTTTTGAATCAATAACAATTTAGCATTATACAAATTTAATGTACATCTCTGTATAAAGCACATATAATCACCCTGTTCGCATGTTGGTTTCAGCCAACAAAAACCAGCCAGTCAACAGTATTTTCCTCTCACAATAAACCAGCACCAGCCAGCCCAGAAACCAACCAGCGAACAGACCAAATAGGTGCCAAAGACTACTGGTACGAAATAAAGCAAACCTAACTACTGCTATCTCCTAAACTGTTACATCTCCAACAACACTGAAAACATCGACATCTCATAATCAAAGTAAAATACAACTTAACAAATGTACATCCCCAGGCACAGCGTCCCCGTCGTACGTAGTTGGTTAGTTGCTAGTTGCTACAGATGTTAGTGGAGTGGAAGACTGGAAGGGGCGGCGTAGGATTGTTCCTACATCTCAGACAATGTTCATCTCGATCATAATGTCTGTTCGGTTGGCTGGGCTGGATCGTGGATTATTTACTGCTGGTTGATTTGGCTGGTTTGGTGTGAGAAAAAAATACTATTACAACTTATAATCCACGATCGTATACGATCGTTTACGGCCTGCCGAACAGGCGAGGGAGCCATCGTGCACTGCATTAGCACTACACTCTCCAGCACTTGTACTGCTATTATGTCCACGTTCGTGGCTTATTGCTTCATTGAGCCCCTCAGGGACAGAGCAATCACTCCCGTGGTCACCTTGGCGACCACCGTTTGTGGCTTCAGGATGGGGGTGATCAATAAGGACAGAAATGTTGTCCGTGGTGTTCTCAAGTGGATGATATTGTTGGTCGCCAGGGTTCGTGCTGCCGGCAGTTTGTACTGCATCAACGTCTTCAGCTCCGGTCCAACTTGGCGATGCTTATCAGCAGCATCAGAGAAGAAACAAGTCCACTAACGAGGAAGAGACCAGAGAAATTTCGCAGAGTGAGAGGTGTATAATCTGTCTTGGTTATGGTCAGCGATGCATCATCATCATCAGCTGTGCTTGTGCCCAGCCATTCTTTTTCGATTGTTGAGCTCTCTTCCCCTCCAGTGATGTCCAAAATTGCGCTGGAAAGATTATTCACCAGTTGACAATGACATGAATTGAATACCTAAATGTAAAAAGGAAAGACATATAACATTATTAATCAGGATAGCCATTATATTCCCACAGATACTGAAAACATGCAGTTTTCTCTTGAAGAGTCAATGAGCACGAGATTGAGCAGCTTACAAAACCAAAACCAGGGGTTCTGAATATTTGATCCTGAATTTCGAATTCGTCCTTGTATCTTGAGTCAGAGAGGAAAGCTTTTAGATAGGGGACCTCATCAACGATAGCTGACACACCACCGTTCTTGGATCCATTCCTCAAAGCTTTAGCATAATCATCTGCTGAAGAATAAGGAATTAACTTTCCTGCGGTAAAATTTCTATGCATCAAGAGGGAGTGCACAAATGACCCCTTCTGGTATCCAACAGAGTCGCCAGCCTTCAGAAGTTGGTTCAGATCCTTCACCGAAGGCTGGAGCCTATCTGCAGTTAACAAGGATGACAAACTTGCTGTGTAACTCTGTACCAGGACCAGCACTAGAAAACACCATGGATACCACAACAACAAATCGTGACAATGGGCTTCTAACAATTTGACCTGTGAATCGAATAAACATGATGATCATTTATGAATTTTTTTAGATAGTGGAACGAGGTTCCAGCTAATTATCTATGAACTGTGGTAAGAAACTAAACTAAAGAAAACAAAGTTAAGCCCCAAATGCTGACCGTGAGAAAACGTTAGAGTGGAGAAAGCAAAGTAGGCAGCAGTGCTGCATAGCTGATCCTTGGTACTCCGGATTTTTCGGTCTCTCAATCATCCAGATAACAAACCCAGTGAAGCAGAAGAATCCCACGGTTGCAAACCAAAGCTCCTTGCTTAGTGGGGTTAAAAATCTCCACTGGATTGGAGCCAATCGGTCACGGCACACAAGCAAAGCCACGACCGACTGTGTGTATGGCATTGTGAAGTCCACGGTTATTGATTCGGTCAGAGGTTATGGTCACATCACCTGCTGCTCTGTCCAGGTTCTGCTAATTTGTTATTGTTCCAAGAAAATCAGAAGAGTTATAAGAAAAAGGAAGATTAGTGGAAACAAGTTATAATCTTATGAGTTAAGACATAGTATTAAAGTATGCAATGGAGCTATGCAGGAGTGATGCTAGCTATAGTATTAAAGTATGCAATGGAGCTATGCAGGAGTGATGCTAGCTCAAACCTGAAGATACGCTGCCTACTAGATCGTCATAAGAACCGTCAAAAACACAATACTCATAGCGTGGAGGGTCCCGTAGCTTCTTCTGGTCCTGTAGCTTCTTCATAGCAGCTTCAAAGACATCAATGCTGTAGCCAGTGATATTTTGTTTCTTGGTACTAGAACAAATATCAATACCATTGCAATATAAACAAGGATCGGAAACCTTCACAAAATTTTCAAAACCAGGTTTTAGTGGCACGCCAATCCTGAGTGGCTTCATAGTATTGTCACCGCACACCTTCCCCAAGTTTCTTTCCACTAATAATTTTCTGGCATTTGTGCTCTTGGATTCTGGATTAAGTGAAGGTTCAGGGTCAAGTATCTTGTCACTCCCTTTAGATGTCATTACTGGATCTTCTTGCCAGAACACAGGTTCCAGTTCCATAGTCCCAGTGCCACTACTATTTTTGTCAAAGCCACCATGTATACCCAAATATGTTTCCTCCATCCAGATAGACATCAAGTTTCCAAACTGGGAAAACTTTACTGCTTTGACGACTGACTTCTGAGTTACAATGGCTTGAACTTGGCCATTACTGATTAGATCCTCGGCTGCATAAAGCAATGCATCAAAGAATTATTCTAATGAATAAATACCTTTTGAGAAACACTAAAAAGATCATGCGACAATTATTCCATAGAAAAAGAAATTTTGTGTCCCCATTAGTTTAGGGTGTTCCTTTGTTGAGTGCAAAAGAATGAATAGGAATTGTTTTATATCAAAAAAGGTTTTTCTTATTAAAAAAGGAGGGAGGAAGAGGAACCGATAATAAGGGAGGAGGAAGAGGAAGTGAGAATAAGGAAAGAGACAGAGAAATTGTTAACCATAATAGAGGAAGCGAAAAGCCCAAAAAGAGGACTAAATCTCTTGTTTACAAGTTCTTTTTTAATAGATAAGATAGGAATAACCATGTTGTAGTAACAGGTATATTTTAGATAAGATAAGAATAAAATACATTCTCAGCACCAAATCGAGCACTACACAGGTTTATTAGAAACAAGCGGCAGCTGGGCATGTTTTGGGCAAATTTATGCTTCGTTTTGAAAGCCACTGCAAATCTACAATTCCAACATAGGTATTAAAAAAAAAACTTCGAAAGCCACTGCAAATCTGCAATGCCAAAAGGGGACATGGTCCAGTTTGTAAACCACCAAATTTCGGTAGCTGCTGTTTAACGGATTGTTCCCTGTTCATCTCTTCCATGGGAGATGCAGACTCTGCAGATAGTTCTTTCCTAGTGGTAATGAGCTTATCAATTTCACCACGAGCCTGCTTGTATTTCCCTGCTTAACACTTCAAGCTCCTCAACCAGAGCATGGTTATGTGCCAAAAGCCTCCGGAGTTCAACTTCCTATAACTCGAGCTCATCCTCTAAGACAGCTGGGTGAGGGTCAGGAGCGCGCTCACCAGCTCCATGCGTAGGGAGGTTGGTCGCCGTCGACCTGCCACGCCTCTGCTCTTCCTGCACTCTCGCCCACGCCTGCGCTCGCCTCGCACGGCCCCGCCTGCGTCGAGCAGCACACACGCGGCCCGCACCATGCCTGCGCCCGCGCGCCGCGCCGCCTGTGCCTGTGCGCCGAGCCGCCGGTCCTGCCGAGCCGCCGCTCCCGTCTTTCTGTTCGGGTGACTCACGGGAGGAGAGAGACAGGGTGGACCGGTGGAGGGTGGGAGGAAGAGATGGATAAGGGGCATCACTGTCATTTCCCGTCTGTCTTTTATGTTTTTTTTTAAATCGTTTATTTCATCTTTATTTAGGTGACGGACATCCAAATCCGGAGCAAAGGCTGCTTCGTTTAAAAAATCGCGAGGGTTCACAAAATAAAATAAAAGAAGCAGTAAAATCACAAGTAAACTTCGGGACAAAGATAAAAAAACATCATTCTCCCTTAAACCTATTTATTGCTTTAGACGGTCAAGGGCAAGATGATCTCTCGTCAGGTTCCTTTATTTGGTCTGAAAATTACTTGAATTGCTTATCAGCCTGTTCGCTTGATCGTAAATTTTCAGCCAGAACAATATTTTTCTCTCATATCAAACCAGCCAGCAGTAAATAATCCACGATCGTTTACGGCCTCCCGAACAGGCTTTATGTCATTGGACAAAGAGAGTAGTAGTATAATGGGATCTAGAGCAATATTAATGCTTCTTGTTTTTATAATGGAAAGAGAGAGTAGTACAATGACATCTAGAGCAATATTAATGCTTCTTATTTTTCCAATTGGACGGAGAGAGTAGTACAACGGAGAAAGTAGTTCAGTTGTTATTATACTTAATTAATGCTTCTTATTTTTTGTGTCACTAAGTTTAAAAGGAATATTAATATTTCTGGTCAGAAAAGACATAGGGTCTGTTCAGTTGGTATTAAAACCGGCTAAAATTATTTTGTTGTGAGAGAAAAATACTGTAGATTCTAGCTGATAAGTCGGTTGATAAGTTCAAGCGAACAAGCCCATAGGAGAGAGAGGAGGTTGAAGACAAATTAATGCTTGTCTCACAATAATTGCTTGGTAGAGTAGTTAGCTGTTCTTGTTACTAGTCACTACTTGTTAGTAGCTAGTTGCTAGTTACTCCTGTTGTGATTTAGATTAGGAACCTTTGCTACTATAATTATGTAGGGGCTTGTTTGGGTGAATTAGAGCTAAAACTTGTTGTTGCTATTAGAATCATTTGTTATACTAACCAACTTTGCTCTTGTCTTGTGCTTTTGTAGAAGAAAATTTATAGATTATTCACCCCCCTCTAGCCATCTAGATCATTTCACCTATGGAGTACATGGTGAATGGTAACAAATACACCATGGGATACTATCTTGATAATTGGTTCTACCCTTCTTGGGCAACTTTGTGAAGAGCTATAACAATCCACAAGAAAACAAGAAAACTCATTTCAAAAAAGCCCAACAAGGATGAGAAATGTGGAGAGTTCATTTGGTATTCTACTAGCTTCATTTGCCATGGTGAGGCATCCTGCTAGAGGAATAAGGACACCATATGGTAAATGATGCCAACAATGTGCTATGATCATGAGCAACTTGTTGAGAATGAGCAAGATACACAAGGGGGAGATGAATATGATGGAGATGGCTGCAAGGTCCTGAGGGAGAAGGATTACCAATGGCGTGATCCACTTTGTACTGAGTGAGTTCTTAAAGCTACAAGGGGAGATTAAAGACATGCAAGCAAATATGCTCCGAGAGGATCTTCTCGAGCATTTGTGGGCACTTCATATTGCTAACTTACATGATTACTAGTAGTTTGTACGCTCTTAGTTTTATGTCATGTGAAGAGCAATTTTATCTATAAATTTGAATATGTCGTGTTTGAAATCATTAATTTCAAAATGGTTCAATTCTATGCATTACAAATAAGTTAGAATGAAATATTCGATGCATAATATATGAGAGAAAAAAAGAATGGGGGCTTTAGATTTAGGCGGTGTTGCACTGCTGCTAGAGTTGAATGCTGAAAATAGGGCTCTAGAAGTAGGGGGAGCTCTTGCTCAAGAAGTAGGGGCCCTGATTTAGGGAGACCACTGTTGGAGATGCTCTAAGACTCTAGTTATGTTTGATAGATTGAACTTATGTTCATCGACCGGGGATAAAAAAAAGGAGTATTTCTTAGATGCTTGCTAATGTTTAGATAAGTCGCATATCCCTTACCACAAGTGAAAGCTTGATAAAAAGGGTGGAATTTGTAGGGTAAGAAAAGAGGGTTGATTGGTTCTTCTCCTCCCCATCTTCCTCATACTTTTCTTCCCTTAAGCTTATAACGAGTTGAAAGGTCCTAATGGCCAGAGGGAATGAATAGCCTATAAAAATTTCTACAACAACACTTAACCAATGTGGTTAGTCAAATAAACGACGAAGCGAGTGTAGCGCTAGCCTACTAAAAATACAAGCCACCTACCACAATTTTAGTTGCTATAGTCTCTATCCACACAATGGCTATGTCACTACACTAAGTTAGTGAGCTTTCAAAGACTAACTAAAGAGCCTCACTAGCCACTAGTCCCGACGCAATCTAGCTCTCAAAACTAATTACACTAAAGAGCTTAGCTTACACACTAGAAATGTAATACAAGAAAGGATGGCGATGATTATACCGACATGTTGAGGTATGAACCAATCACAAGATGGAGCCAATCAATCAATCATAAGATAACCAATGAAATCCTCGGACAAGGTGACACAAGATTTTTTACTGAAGTTCACTTGCTTGCCGGCAAGTTAGTCCTTGTTGTGGCGATTCACTCACTTGGAGATTCACGCGCTAATTGGCTGTGGCAGAACCGCCTAATCTAATGCCTCCCAGGAGTGCTTGTCTTCTATTAGACACTAAACACTCAAGGGAGAACACCGAATTATGTAGTTTCGTCGGGCACACCCCAAGGGAGAATCCGAAAATCCACATTTTTCCATCAGGATCACAAATGAGAGAATAAAGCTAATATCATTCTTAACCATTTCTTACATCACTTTTAATACAACATCAGAGTATACTATTTATTTTTATAACAACGGAATGTAATCATATTATCAGAGTTATGAACAATTTAATTGAACAGCAGAATATGAACATGTGAACAGAGTTACAGCGGAATTAAACATCTATTTATGACGTGATAAAATATTGATATATAAATTACGATAATAGATTATAAAACTTCCATTTATAAAAACATTTAGTAAGAGTTATAAATAGAGACTATGATCGCAGCGTAAAGGAAATCCTCTCTGAACCCACCAGGAGGAATCCACACACAAGAGTCAGCTCTAGCATCCACCTGTCACCTGCAATAGGGGAAAATAAAACCCTGAGTACTCAATTGTACTCAGCAAGACTTACCCGACAGAAGAAAAGAAAAGACTCCAACGTTATGCAAGGCTATATGACTTGTGGGTTTATTGCATCTGTAGGAAGCATTACTAAGTGTGCATCCTTATATTCAATTTTTATTAGCAGTCGCATTAGTTCATTAACTAACCATTCTATGTAAGCACATGTGCTACTTTCAAGCAGGTGGTAAGCATTCAGAGTTCCTTTTACCATCTTTCAGTTCTTACTATGGTGCTAGAGTTTAGACAAGTCGTACCGGATTGCCCGGTGATTCACGAATCAATGCCCCTAGCTGGGTACTCTGAAAACATACGCCCCGCTCGTACCCCAGGCACAAGCAGGACCAACACACTATCCTCCTGTCATAGGGTCCAGGTCCCCGTCCAAACTGGGACTCCAAGCCCCCGCCCCTGAGTCCCGGACTCAGTGCGGTGCAAGGACCTCCTAACCCAAAAACCACCCTGACAGTCGGTCCAGAAAGAGCCAGAACCCATGACATGAGAGTAACAAGTCTTCCCTACGTCCATACCCAAGTATGTGCTTGGAATAATAAGTCTGTGACTTGTCTATCGTCCAATGCAACGGCTGGTCCTTAACCGACATAGACAGGAAAAACAGTGTAACCAAGCTATGCCCCGTTGGCCGCAGGACACAACCTTTTACACCCACCAATACCCAAACCATATCCCTGCCTGGTCACCATTTATTATTTCCACCATTTACATTTTCCAAGTGATAATAATACAGTAATAAATTTTATATCTCTCGCGAGTGACAGGCAATCACTTGAGTTCTATCGGAGTCCTGTAGCATAGCACTCCATACGATCATGTCATACTAGTAAGACTCATAGGATAAAGAGATATATATGTGCAAGTGGGTTTCAATCAACTCCTTAAAACTTACTGTACAACTATAATTTAAAGTGCAGAAAAGTAGGGGTTATGCACTGGGGCTTGCTTGGGTAAGATTTAATCAAAAGTTAGCTTTCCATCATGGCAACACGATCTCCAAAAACACCATTTCTCTAGCAACTCCCGATGACTCCGCGATCCATCGACGTCCCTATTATGATATGCAATGCGATGCCATGCAAAGACGTAATTAATCGACTGCAATTGTGACTCGTAAAATACGATTTACGCCTCTCAAGTTGACGAGCTAGTTCTAACGACGACCGTACTTAGGCTACATATCCATGTTATCGAATAAGGCGTTATTTCCCAACAAATATTTTAGTTATACAAACCCAAGTTGTTTCTTTATTTCATTCTATCAATTTAATCTTTATTCGAAATAGGGCATCATTCCCTATCTAGCAAACTAATTATTCTAGAGCTACAAAAATTACAGTGAGCAGCTAATAACATTAGTAATTTACTGTAAAATTTTCAGAGTCAACACTATCACCGATTTATCATAGAAATTCCCACAAGTTTATGTCTTAACGATATTAAGTATCTCAAATTAATTATATAGCTTCCAAGAATATTATCAAACTATGTGAACAAAATATACTAGTAGATAGATCACGATTTTAGAAACTTAATAAAATTGGTTTCACCATTTTTGGACACCTACACAATTTTATATTGATTTTACAAGTTTGCTTCAGCATTAAATTAGAAAATACCTCAAAAATGAAAAAGGGCCGGCGGCAAATAAACTGGCCCAGCAGCCCACGGTAACGGCGTGGTAGCTCAGAGCATATCGCGCGCACGCGGCCCAATGCATGCGGCACCAGTCTGGCCCAGGCGGGGTGGCACAAGGCTGACCCAGCGCGCGAGCCGAACGGCCCACGCGCGGCGAGCGCGGGAACCGGGCGCGAGCAGCCTAGTGCGGCGCGGACGGCCCAGGTGAGGCGTG